TCTAATCATAACACGCTTTCCCCCCAAATCAAAGCTAAATCGGTCTCTTTGAAGCCACCGCTTGCTCTTGCCTCTGGGGCCACATAGAACAGATGTACTCCAGCTACCACCTGCCAGCTTTTCAGATACTCACAGAGAGCCACCCACCAGGCCTCCCCGCTCTGCCTAGCTCCAAGCCTTCTCTTCCTCAGGTGAATTCTCTCCAGCTCTTTTGACGCCACCTCATGTGGCATGAAGCTGAGGCCCTTCCTTTACCGTCCTGGCCGCCCTCCTTTGGACAGCCTCCAACTTGTTCATGTTGTTATTAAAGTATTAAAATTTGTATTTATTGTTATTAAAATATTAAATATCAAAACATTCCCAGGCCTGACCACACGTCTTCAGATGGGATGTCATGGTGGCAGAGGACAGCGGGACCACCACCGGCCTTTAGGACCCAGGTATCGACGCCATCTTAAATCCGTTCTCCAGGGCCTGATTGTTAAATTGTCAGGATGAGCAAATGCTACACATCGTGGCTTGAATTATTGCTTCGTTGATTGTCTCGGCTTAAAGAAAGCGATGGAAAAAATGTTCCTAATTCTGATTCAACTTAAAAGCGTGTCATGCATACACCTTCATTCCACCCCCTCTCCGGCTGGCTGTTAAATATTTACCAGCACACCATTGCCTGCCTCCTATCAGATACTAAATATCTCCCAAGGAAGCTAATTTTTGTGGTTGCCATGTTACACCCTTAACTCATACTTCTCTTGCAGTCCACTGAAACCCTCAGATCTTTCTCACAAAAGCTGTTGTCCAGCCATGACTTCCCTCATCTTATACTTGTGAAGTTAGTGTTTTGGGCCAATGAAGAACTCTTGCATTTAATCCCTATTATGTCTTCATTTATCTTTTTTTTTTTTTAATGAGGCAAGTCACTCAAGGACAATGAAAAGGTATGGGGTGGGTGGGAGTAAGCAGAAATTTATCATCAAGGAAAAAATTCTCAGGAACAGCTTCAAAAAGGATGCAACCAAGGAGATATATCATCAGGAAAGGTGGACTAGTCATATAAAGAGAGCAAGGGGAGAGAAAAGGACAGTCTACCGGCTTCCTGGGTCCTTTGCTTTGTGTGCATGAGTCTATGGAAGCCTAGATCCAAAGATGTAGGGGAAGGTCCCACCTAACAGACTGGGCAGGCCCCCACAGAGTATCTACAGAATTCCATGGATGAGAGAGTCATGCAGGAGGAGAATATACAAATGGGTCGCAATCTGCCCCCACTGGAAGGAGAACCCCCGCTAGTGGAATTATATAAAGTAATTAATTGTCATCTTATTTGATTCAGCTTTTTAGTCTAGCCTGTCAAAGTGTGTGGGGATCCTGACTCTGAAACCCACCACATTTGCCAACTTTGGGTCACTTAGAAATTTGACAGGCACTCCATCTGTCTTTTTCCTAGTCATTGATAAGAATGTTGAGCAGCACAAGGCCAAAGGCTGACCCCTGAGGCTCTCCAGCTAGGATTTCCCTCCATTGAACCCTCAAGGATTATTTGGTAGATCCAAATTCTCCACTAGCTCTGAATCGGTTCCTGTACTATTTTCTTGCCTATGATTCGCTATCTTATTGACAAGGACAGTATGAAAGACTTTGCCAAATGCATTGCTGAAATCAAAGCATAATTTGTTTTCAGAATGTCCCTGATCAGTCTGATTACTCTGGGCGGGGGGGGGGAAGGAATAAAGTTAGTCTGGCATGACCTGGCACCAGCCATTCTGGATTTCAGTTTGCAACTTTATATGAAAAGTGATTGAACTGTCCATACTCATTGATTCAGCAATCCAATACTGGGCATATGTGCCCCCCAAGGAAGTTAAAGACAGAAACAAAAGTATAATGCATATCAAAATATTCATAGCAGTATTCCGTGTGTTAGCAAAGAACTAGAAATAAAATGGGTGCTCATCCACGAGGGAATGGCAGAAAGAACAAGGTTTTAGGAATGTAATGGAATATTATTATGAAATAAGAATAAATGAATGAAAAAAAAAACATTTATTAAGTGCTCACTGTGTGCCAAGCCCATGCTAAGTCCTGGGGATAAGGAATGCAAAAGCAAAGACAGTCCCTGCCCTCAATGCGCTTACATCCTAATGGTGGAGATAACACAAATAGTGGGGCGCCATTTTGTAGATTACAATTCTAAGTCTTTTTTGTAGCCATTTTGTAGATTATAATTATAAGTCTAAGTGGAAGTCAACATATATAGAGGAGTGGTGACTAGGGAAGGATATTTTGTTTTGGAAAGTGAAAGAATGGTAAGTTGGGCCATGGGGAAGTAGATTGACACACCCAGGCTAGGAATAATGACGGAATTGATCAGATCATAGTCCACGTTCCAGAACTGGAGGGAAAGGGGGAGGAAAGTTCTAATAGCAGCAGGGCAGTTGGCGAGGCTGTGGAAGAGATGACTGGGAATCTCAGAGAGATGTGGGAAGTTGTGTACAACTGATGCAGATAAACAGAACAATGGACATGGTAACCATAATGATGTAAAGGAAAACAACCCCCAAAGCCCTCCACAACACTCCTACTTTTCTTCCTGCCTCCTGAACGTTCACCCAAATGCTCCCCATCACCTTTCCTGTCTTGGCTCACATGAATCCATTTTTTTTTTCAATTACACAATGCTAATCCACCATTCTTTTTATTTATTCTCCCCTTTTCAAATGAGGTGTCCTCTTCCAGAACTATATTCCATTCAAGGGTCTCATCCTACCAAGTAATACCTTGGTATGATGTCAAATTTGTTTTCTTGAGCATGATCTCTAGCTCACCTTATGTTATCACTCATACTTCTCCTTATAGATGTAGATGTAGACTTGGATGTGGCTAAAGACATAGATGTAGCCTTATAGACTTAGACATAGACATTGCTGTGGACATAGATACAGATATAGATGTGACGTAGACATAGACATAGACATGGAGACGGGTATAGATATGGATGTAGATGCAAATGTAGCTATCTAGACATAGACGGACATAGACATAGAGATAGAGATGGAGAAAGAGAGAGATATCTGAGACTACAGATCTTATTCCCATTTTGGATGATGAAAGAAGAGCCACTGAATGGACATTTTTAGAGTTAAATAATAACCATGAGTCTTTTTTTCATAGAGGAGGAGAGTGGACCATTTCTAGAGGAATTAGCTTCCTGTGCTCCAAAGAATGAAGATGTGGGAGGAAAAAAAGAAAAAAACAAAACAAAGTGATCACTCCATAATTACAATGACCAAGTTTGGCCCAAGAGAAGAGGAAACATACCTCTGTCCCTCCTTTGCAGAGGTGGGGGGCTATGGATGCAAAGCAGTGAATATTCTATCACACTTGGTTGTTGTATTGGTCAGTTTTGCTGAATTGCCCTTCCTGTCTCCTTTTAATTCTTTGTTATAAGAGATGATTTCCTGGGGACAGGAGGGAGGAGGGGAAAGAGGTATTTTTTGAAACAGAGATGCTGTAGAAACAAATTCTATCAATAACCAAAATTATGTATATGTGTATATATGTACGTGTGAATGTATATGTCTGTGTCACACACACACACACACACACACACACACAGAAGGTGAGCAGGGCAGTGGGAGTTTGTGGCTCCCAGCTGACCAAGGGACCCAAGCAGCCATTGGCTGACCCATCATAAACAGAGAGGTCTACTGGCTTCCAGGACACGAAAGGACTCCTCTCCAGAGCTGTGCCACCTCCTGGCCACTACCTACCACACTGGTGATTCATGCCGGGACAGATGCCAGCGAAGGAAGCTTGAGCGTATTGCTAAAGTGTAAGGTTGTAGGCGGGAGCAGGGGGAGGGAGCGGAAGGAGTTTGGGGTGCCTCTGCTGTTTTCATCTCCCTGATGACTGACATTAAGGAATTCAGAAGAGAAAGGGGAATGAACAGCTGGCCGAGGAGATGGCGTCTGAGACCAGGATTTCTAGATCACTTTGTGCCTTTATTTTAAATATAGCACTTTGCCAGGAACAGAAAGCACAAGGCGAGGGGGGGCAGGGAGAGACACACACATTTGCCTGGGGACTTGCACATAGCAATAATAGGTAGCATTGATATGGCCCTTTAAGGCTTGTGTTTACAAAGCACAGTTACCTCATTTGACCCTGTGATGATCCTGGGAGGTAGGTCCTCTTATTGTCTCTATTTTCCAGATGAGAAAACTGAGGCAGACTGAGGTTAAACAATGACTTGCCCAGGGTCACTCAACTATCAGGTCTCTGAGGCAAGATTTGAACTCAGATGTTCCTGACTTCAGGTCCAATGATCTATTCACTGTGCCCCCCAAAGGGGCTTCAATTTGGAAAGGAAGAGAAAAAAACCAAAACTGTTTACTTAGTTCTGTTAAGACCAGTACAACGGAGTAGCTAGTATAACACAGGAAGAATGAATGAGCGGAGGGAGTGAATTTATAAAGCACTTACTATGTGCCAGGACTATGTATGCTAAGCGCTGGAGATACCAATGTCCAGAAGAAACAACAGACACATGTGTGTGATGTGAGACACACCTGAGGGATCGAGCTGGGTTGTATGTTCTAGATGGAGCCCTGCAGGGCATTCAGATGCCACACTCAACACGGGCTCCCATAGAGCAGACAGCTGGAGGTGAGAACCAACTTTGGCTGTAAGAAGCCTGATTTAGTAAGATTGGACCAATCTTCTGACTGGGTGACAGGGGATGATGAAGGACCTAGAGTCTGGGGTCAAGGTGGCCCAGCAATATTCCTTCCCCTCTGAGCAAAGCCCAATCTCCCCCACTGGCTACAAACAGGGAAAGCGGTTCATCAGCAAACCAGACGTGACACTGGAGAGAGTTAGCAAAGGGATTTAGAAAAACTGACTTTCTCCCATCATGCATTTCACTACTTGAGTTTGAAAAGGCAGCTGGGGACACACAAGAGATCATTGCCTCTGAAGTTGGGGGACCTGGGTTCAGATCTTACCTCTGATGTTTGCTCCCAATGTGAGCTCAGACAAATCACTTCACTTCCAAGGTAGACAGTTTCCTCAAAGGAAAAATGAAGGCGTTAGAATAAATGGTCCCTGAAGTCCCTTCTGGCTCTAGATTTATAACCCTCAGGGCTCTTATGCAAATACCTGAGGAACCGAGAGAAAAGGCATTTTCCTGTGTTTGTTTGCGGGTTGGGGGGGGACTGTGGGTGTGGGATGTTGCATGTACTGTCAGATTCAACTGATGTGTTAACAGTTTAGCTAAGGTTTGACTGGGTTTTGTCCTTTGTTACAAGGAATGTTTCGATAGGTTGGGGAGGGATATACTGAGAAATAATAGTGAGGAAAGAGCAGAATATGCCAGTAAAAACAACTGAGTTGGCCAATTGGAGAGGCCACAGGAGGCTGGGGAGTCCTTCTCCGTTGAAGGTTATTGAGAGCCTCCGGAGGAATAAATGATAAATGCAGAGTTTCTGTTGGCTGGGGTCTTAGAGAAGAGAGACCTGAGTGTTTGCTCCTCTAGGGGAGCAAGCCAACAGGATTTTGTGTAGGGGAAGAGGGGAGCTAGGTTGTGGGGGTGAGTATTCAGCCACACACACACACACACACACACACACACACACACACACACACACACACACATTCGCTATACTGGCTGCAGAAGGATCACTTATGGAAACAAGATGTTTCCTTATGGGGTCCTTGAGCGGTTGGGCATATATCCAGCAGACCCACACTCTCAAGTCCTCCTCACTCCCAAGCACACCCCAGGAAGTCAAGCAGAGAAGCATTGACCTTGGGGTGGATTCTGTGACACCAGCATTCTAGAAAGAGGCTTGGGACTCTGTCCAGCATTTTAGCATCTCTGTCTGCTCAGCCCTTTCCCCTATGGCTAACATATGCCTTCAGGTTACCTCCTCACTTCTTATCTCCTTCATCCCTACCATCTAAACCCTAGACCCAAATACCTTCTTGCTTTCACTTCCCTCCATCCTCCATCTTTTCCTTTCCCCTCTCCAACCGTATTCATGTCAGTTTTCAGTCATGTCCAACTCTTCGTGACTCCATTTGGGGTTTTCTTGGCAGAGGTACTGGAGTGCTTTGCCATTTCCTTCTCCAGCTCATTTTGCAGACGAGGAAACTGGGGCAAACAAGGTTCAGTGACTTGTCCAGGATCACACGGCTAGTATCTGAGGCCAGATCTGAACTCATGAAGATGAGTCTTCCTGACTCCAGTCCCAGCGCTCTAGCCACTGCACCACCGAGCTGCCCATCTCTATCCACAGACAGAATCTCTGGTTTATCGCAGGTGCTCAATAAATGCTTGTTGATTTGACAGACTGATTCGCCCCAGCTCTGTACCCCACTGCATTTTCCTCCCTCTCTGCATGCTTGGACTACCCTCTTTATCCTAACAGTTTTTCCACCTCCTTGCATCTACTGAAGCATCATGTAAATGAAGGCAGGATTTAGAAGGATGAAGTAGAGGGAGCTGGGTGGGAGGGAGAGGGGTGTCAAGTCAAGTGGGTAACTCAAAGAAGGCTTGAAAGAGGGAAGGAAGGCTTGAGAGAGAGGCAGGGCTATTGCCTGTTCCATAGAGGGCTCCTCAGGCCTGGGACCACAGGACTCTGCGGGCAGCCTAGGCTAAGCCCACCTCCCTCCCGGAGGGAGCAAGGCTCTTAGCTGTCCCCTGAGTCCCCAAAGCTCCCTGCTTTCAGCAGTCAGGGCTCTCCCGCCCTGTTCACATGCCTGTTCCCCAAGGAGACGTCAGGCTCTCAGTGGTGACTGGCAGCCTCCCTCACTGACTCTCTCTACTCCCTCACTTCCCCCTCACTGTCATCTACTTAGCCCTGGGGCATTTCCCAGTAGTTTGTCAGTTAAGAGAATTTGAAACCTCCCTCGGGGGTTCCACCAGATCACTGGGAGGGAGACCACACCAGACAGAGGAAATTCCATTTGGAGTGGCGAGCAAGAAGGGTTTTGGAGACGTGCCAAATCTTTCTCAAGAGAGGGGATTGTACTGGGTGACCTCTGAGGTGCCTTCTGGCTCTGCATTTAGGACCCTAAGATTCTATGGCCTCAGGTCAAATCCTCCCTCTCCCACTTATTAGATTGTGACCATGGGCAAATAATTTGACTTCTCTGGGCCTCAGTTTCCTCATCTGTAAAATGATGAGTATTGGACTAGACCATCCATTCCAGTTCTAGAGCTCTGATCCTCCCAGTTCCAGATCTGTGATCCCATCATCTAGAAGCTAGACAAGGTAGCTACCCACCTGGTGTGAGTGTGAGTCAGGGTAGTGCCAACCTTCTTCCTATTCTGAAAATTCTTCTCCCCTGCTGCCCGGAAGGCAGGCCACCATTCTCCACTGATTTGAGTCTCAAGGTCCAAGTGCCCAGTTATTGGCATTCATTTAAATAACAAGGGTGGGTGTTTACCGTGCTAAGAAGGTACCTGGGTTGAGGGACAGGGAGTCCTCCACTCACTTCTTTATACTTGGTTATCAGGTTGTTTAGGAAGGGGGTTGGCCCCTGAGCCAGCAAGATCTGGGTTCAAGTCCTGCCTCTGATACATACTGCCTGCAGGACTGGTCAAGTCACTTCAAGCCTCAGTTTCCCTAAGACTGTAAATTACAGAGAAGGTTCCAATCTGTGTTAGCAGAGGGAAGTCCTCATCCCTCATCCCTCATCCCTTATCCCACATCCCTCATCCCTCATCCCTCATCCCTCATCCACATCCTCATCCCTCATCCCTCATCCCACATCCTCATCCCTCTCTTAGCCAAACCTCCTTTCATCTCAGAATATCCCAGAATATTCTAGAATATCCTGCAATGTTTCAGAACCATGGTTTCCAACATGGTGGGGGAAGATATGAGGATCCTTTTACCATTTAAAAATTGACTTTGTTGCTGCCTTTTCTCAATTCATTTCCCAACCACCCCCAGACCAAAAGGCAATTAAGCAAAAATATTGGATGCAGAAACTTCATCTGATAGCATATACACTATTCTGTCCCAATAACCCCCCACCTCGCTATAAACATCATTTTTTAAATAAAAAATTGTGCAAACCCTTCTTCCTTCTGCAACATAAGGGTAGATTTACTATTGGCATCCACTGATTGATGATCTAAAACCCCTATGAACTCAGTGATGCTTTTCAATGAATTTGTATTTTGCTAATCTCAGTATCATTGGCACACATTAGGAAAACAGCGTGGTGAGTGCCAGATATATTACTTGTCTAGACTCCAGAAGGCGGGCTTGCTAAAACCCAAAATGGCAGCACTTGGCATGCATGTGGATTTTGAGACTATTTGAAAGTAGGCCGCGCCCTTGCCCCCATGTGTCCAGGGCACACGTGGGGACCCCTGTGATGGAATGTCTCACCTGTGGCCAGCTATGATTGTGCGACATGAACGCAGGCTGCAGCATAGGACAACATACACGTATAACATGTAACCCAACATGGTATGAGAGGACACACTTCCCTAAAGCTTTTATTACATCCCAACATAAGAAATGAGGCTGATCTTGTAACCAGTCACTCATGAGGACAGTGTCTTCAAAATGGTCACATCAGAAGCTGTACATTTATTTCATGGATGCTATGATTCTGTAGAATTCTAGTCTAGGAAAGGCCTTCAGAACCTCCTCTGTTGGGGTGGCCTCCAGGGTCTCCCCTCTGGAGACGGCCTTCAAAGCCTCTTCTCTAGGGATGGCTTTCAGAGTCTCCTCAGTGGTTATAAATCTCCATCCTTAGAGGATAGAAAAGATTTTTTTTGTTTTCTTTTTTTGGCTAGGCAATGGGGTTAAGTGACTTGCCCAGGGTCACACAGCTAATAAGTGTTATGTGTCTGAGGCTGGATTTGAACTCAGGTCCTCCTGAATCCAGGGCCAGTGCTCTATCCACTGCGCCACCTAGCTGCCCTGATAGAAAAGATTTTGGAAAGAGCTTCCCATCACTGAGAGGCTTTGGGGGACCCCAGCAGTATAACTTGGGGTTAAAAAGAGGGGAGGCTGTGACATTACTGCCAGGACTCCTTCTCATCTGGCTTCTGAGCTAACTGAAGGCCCTTCTGCCCTAGAGATAGAGCTGAGCAGGAAGGAAGGGAGGGGGAGGGCTCATTCAAGAAGAGGAAATCCCCCTGAGGTTAGCTGATGGAGCAAGTCCAGGGCCAGGGACTCCAGCTAGGCCACCTTGCTTTCCACTGCCCCCAGTGTCTCTACCACAAGCCCAGCCACTTCCCTGAGGGCTGAGGACGTCTGGCTTTGGGTCCCAGAAGGGACCCAGCCTGGGCCAAGGGCCAAATAGGGGTAAGAAGACCTCAACAGCTAAACCAGACACAGAGTCAAGGCAGAGTCCCAGCACCTCTGGGCCTTGGGACGGCTGGAGCCTGGGTGTCCAGGAGGGATTCCTCTGCCTGCTCCCCACATTCCCCACCTCCTGCCCTCCTGCTCCCATGTCATTGTGTAGATTAGAACTCAGAGCCCAGCTGACTTCAGAAAAACCTGGAAAGACTCATATGGTCTGATGCTGAGTGAAACGAGCAGAACCAGGAGAACGTTGTACATAGTAACAGCCACGTTGTGCGATGACTGACTTTGATAGACTTATCCCTTCTCAGGAATGCAAGGACCTAAGACATCTCCAAAGGCCTCATGATGGAAAAAGCTGTCTGCATCCAAAAAAAGAACTATGGAGTTTGAATGCATATGAAAGCATACTATTTGTTATTTTTTTTCTTCTGTTGTGTTTTGTTTCCTCTTTCTGGTGGTTCCTCCTACTGGTTCTAATTCTCACCTATAACACCACTTATGTGAAAACATGTTTAATAGGAATATATATGTATAGCTTTTATCAGATTGTGCACCGTCTTGGAGAGGGTGGTAGGGAGGAAGGGGGAGAAAAATTTTGAACTCAAAAGCTTATGGAAGTGATTGTTGATAAATCAAAATAAATTAATCTAAAAAAGAAAAAGAACTCAGAGCCCAGGAGCTCCCCACTCAGGGAGCCAAAATCTTTGGAGGCTGTGGCATGGAGTGGGACTCTTATTGGGTTTGGCTTCCC